CATGGTAGTTTCACAGCGTAGTGGGATTTTTGGGTAGGCCTCATGGTAGTTTCACAGCGTAGTGGGATTTTTGGGTAGGCCTCATGGTAGTTTCACAGCGTAGTGGGATTTTTGGGTAGGCCTCATGTTAGTTTCACAGCGTAGTGGGATTCGTGGGTAGGCCTCATGGTAATTTCACAGCATAGTGGGATTTTTGGGTAGGCCTCATGGTAGTTTCACAGCATTGTGGGATTCGTGGGTAGGCCTCATGGTAGTTTCACAGCGTAGTGGGATTCGTGGGTAGGCCTCGCGGTAGTTTCACAACATAGTAGTCCTCTCATTTTGCAGTTTTTTGTATAGTTGTGTAACTACTTGTGTTACTTTACTAAGTGTAATACTTATGCCTCATCAGTAGATATTTAATAATTTTATTAATGATATACACTTTTTGTGTATTGATTTGTTAATGAAAAGTCATTTTTGTCAAAACTCACTTGGAATGTCTATAGAAAAATTATCAGTCATTATAATATTTGGAACTTCCATTGTCATGTCTGTACCCCCATCCCTCTGATCATCATGCATGTAATAGTGATTGACACGGTACATATATTATGAAGCATTGGATTATTTTTGGCATTATTTTTAGTGCATGTTATGTTGCTTGTTGGTTCTGGCTTTTTTTTTCTTCCTGCTCACCAGATCTTCAACATTTATTAAAATAATGAGGTTTTCATTTTCCCCACTCGGCATTGTTTATTTGTGTAGTAAGTTCTTTAAGTGTAATGATGAGTTAAACTGTAAAAATTGATTTCTGTAAAATATTAACATCCTGACTATGTGTTAACCAGAATTGGAGAATGTTGAATATTAACTAGAATATGAATATTACACATTTTCCATCCAAGGAGTTGTTGAGGAAGAAGTAATCATGACGGCCGAAAGGTTGCTACACATGTTAGAAAACATGTCCCTGACTGATGAAGAAAGTCAGATGTTGATGGATGTTCTAGCAAGCAAACAGAGTGGAATTTCAGAATGGACTACAGTTCAGGTAATTAGGATTATGATTTTGTTTTGTACAAAAGTTGTGTCAAAAACATAAACATTTCAATATCTCTTAACAGTTTTTAAAAATCTTGTAGAGCATGCACTGGTCAAATATTCTGGTACATTTTTGCAGTTTTTTTTCTTTTTTTGTTTGTGGAATACACATTATCCCGTGATAATTTTTGTTTTTTATGGATTACATACTGATAATATGTTTCGGTGTCACAAGTTTTTATGCAAAGTATGTAACAGTTAAATATTTTGGTAACATCTGAAGTTTTTTTTTGTTTTGTTTTTTGTGTGTGTGGAGGTCTCACTGGCCAGATATTTCAGTACTTCTTGACAGTTTTTTCATTTATTACTGTTCAGGTGCCTTTTTATTTCTTGAGTACATACTGTTACTTTACAGTATTGTTATTAGATATTTGATATGTTTAGGTAAGACCTAGCTTTGAATTTCTGAGCAGTATGATTTTGGTGAAAAATATAAACAAAAAGAACTTAAATTGATTATTCTTGTGTAAAAAAAAATACAAGCCAGTATGTTGAATACAGAAATTGTAAATGACTGCTAAAGAAAAATATCTGTAACATGTTTTATATACATCCTTTTGCATGAGATTTTCTGTTTCACTGTTGAAAAGTTGTAATACGTTAGAAATCTCAAGTTTTATGTGTACCTACCAGCAAAAACATTATAGACCTTATATATTTCTCTTTTATAGATCATGTCTTTTTGTTGACCATATAATATAATATGCCACTGTGTTAGGAAATTCATAAAACAATTGGTCTTCATGTTTGAGCATGTAGCCTGTCCTCTATCCTATTTTTTTTATGTATATAATCTAATTCAGTTGGTAACATGCAGACAAACAGAAACTTGCTTAACTTCATGCTTCCTTGAACATAGTTTTCTGTTCAATTACACTTGTGAAATGTTATTACTTCTAGCAAAAGAGTTAATTCTAATAATTTACATATTACACCAAGATGATCAGCCTTCTGTTTCTTGTCTAGGAATGTGCACAGTGTGTAATTTTTTCTTCTTTCAGTTTTAATAATAAAACAACCCAAGAATTGATATTTATTTTTACATGCTTTGATGAATAGTAATCCAGGAGGTTTAGCTAGTTTTTATTAAGGTAAATTTAGTTGTAAAGAATCATATTTTGTTTTAAACCTGTCTTTGGTTCCAACTATTTTTCTAAATCTTGAGAGTTAAACCTAACTGGAAAGAGTGACAACTTCATACACTTCACAGTGAAAGAGTATAATGATGTACATTTAGGAAACAAAGTCTATGTTGAGTTGAATGCTGTACTTGAAAGCATGTAAAACTCTGTTAGATGATGTGCTTTCACTTACCTGGCTGGTCAAATAAAAGTTTATGGTGTTTGAAACTACAATTTATAACAGAACTAGTGAGAGTTTTGTTATTTGGCACAAACAATTAATTCAGATTATTCAAGTACATAAATTTTTTTATAACTTTTAGAAACATTTATTGAATTAAACCACACTAACTCTCTCAACACGAGCTTGGTCAATTTGACCATTTTTTTAGTGGTTACGAGGTCGGTCGAATTAACCAATCCAATTTTGAGATAGGGTTGAGAAAATAAAGTTTTACTGAGAAAAACGTTTGAAATGCATTTAGGAAGTTTTAGGGATTACACAAAGGAAATTTGAGATTTTTGAGATGAAGAAAAGTATTTTTAATTTTAACATGAAGATTACTTTGCAAATGGACTATTCAAAACAAATACTCAATATATTAATGGACAAATCTTTATTATATTTTATTAAAAATACTTCACTAAAAAGTATTTTTTGTGTGTGAAAGACTTGTAATATGAACTGAAAGACTGCCAAATTTTGTGAAGATATCCACACTATATTGAAAGTTAGAACTATTAAATATATAAAGACTTTACTTGAGTACAGAGAGGTCAAATCGAAAAAACTTAAATTACCCTTTTTTTCTTTCTAGAATGACTTTAAATTGTAACATGAAACTACATTCGTTTATCCTAAGCAGCTGTAAGTTTGTAACAGTATACATCTATTTATAATTCCATTTTATTGTTTTATTGACCTTTGAACCATGTCTAACTACTATCTGCACCATTATAAGTTGTAAATCACTCGGGGAATGTGTAGCTCATGTTATGCTTTTGAATTATATTACCCACGAGCTGCTCATGTGCATGCCTCATGAACCATTTTAATTATATTATTATTGCTTATTTTGCCTAATCTAGTCTTAAATAACTTAAAAAGATGTGTATTTTTAGATTTCAGTCACTTTTATAATAATAATAATAATAATAATAATAATAAGTAAAGAATAAATATGAAAAACAAGAAATAAGGTACTTACCCAGTCTTCTTGCTCTTGGGTTATGAAGAGAGTTAACCCTAATTTTTTATACTATAGATAGTAATGCACTGAGTAATTATTATTTAATCAAATAATGCACCAAAGAATATAGATTTATAACATGCAAAAAGTAGACAAATTCCCTTACCTCTCAAAATTTTTCTGGCTTTCTAACTATGCTACAAGACCTGTTACAAACTCATTGAAGCTAGTTGTTAATTTTCCCACGGGAACAAATCTTTAACTGTTAGTGAAACTGACGATATTCTGTTCAGAACACAATGTTATACAATACATCATTTGATAGATGAAAACCTTTACTTTCTATTGGTTATAGGTAATATATAATGAAATGTAAGAGAGAGATCTATCAACGAATTGTGAAAGAGAGGATGTAGCAGGAGGGGGTTTGATTTTCTATTTGATAGCTCTGTAACCAAACAAAATTTTAAGGCTATAAAAATTAAGGTTTGTCTGAGCATTAACGATTTTTATGGAGAGTATTTCACTTTTAATTTCATACCTTTTCAAGGGGTGGTGGATAAAATAGGGAAAATGTGTCTCGTGGGTCACACTGGTGGAAATTCAGGTTTTTTTTTTAAAGATTGCCTTGTAGAATTAAGAACTTTAAAACTTATATACTATTAAAATATGGAGTATTAGCTAATATTTTATGCTATTCTAATTGGTATTACATAAACAAAAAGTAGTTTAATAAAATATTGAATGTGAGACACTAAAACCTTGTGTCATGCGCAGTGAAGGGTACCTAGGGCAATCGGGTTAAACTAATAGTTCTATTGTACAATTTTAGCCCTGTACCTCTATCTTATTGTGCTGTGTGTACAGATATATCAGTTCCCATTATTTCAGAAAATGATGTACACTTTGTAAGTATAGTAACTTGCACTTGTTATGAGCTAATAGTTTTAAATTATATCTAAAACTTTTACAGGTACAGGTTTTTGTTGGACATAAATGTACACGTACTGAAGCAGATTTTCCAACCAACTGTAAATGTGTTGTGAGAATTGTGATAGGTATATTAGTAATTAAATGTATATTATTTTGCTCATGCTTGGGTATGTTTTAACTAGAACCAAATTCTAGTTACGACTTATTAATACTTAATTTTTCTTTAAGTGCACATGCATGCACGTACACTGTTCTAGCATATTACTTTTTAAACACTCAAACTACATGTACTTGTTCATGAAATACTCTGTACTGGTTTACTAGTTTTCCTCACAAGTTAGGTGTGATAAAAGAATATCATTTTGTAATGAAACTGAAACACTGCATGAAGTACCATTATTACTATCTTTATTAAATGATTAGGTGACTCAGTAAATAATGTTGCATATTTACAAAATGCAGCACTGTTTTGAAATTCCTGAATTCTCCCTGTGTTATTTTATAATTTAATTGTTTTCCAATTGATAAGAGTTCCTCATACCATGAGGTCTGAAGTCCTTGTACATATGCTCAAAAGGATTTGTGTTATCTGTTTGCTAAAAATTACCTTTATCACCACACCATGAAAAAAAAAAAATGGGTGACCTGATTCATTTTAAAAACAGTTTTAAATATGAGTCATTCTGGTACAAAAAAATAATAGTTGCTATATATAAGCTACATGATTGTGTATGGTAAAATTAATTTGTTTTTCTCTACACAACTAACAAAAATTCATGCTACTATATATTTATTTTTTGTTAGCTGTTATTTGAAGTTTTGCAGTTTTTTAAATATTCCAGACATATTTAATGATAATCAGACTACGAAGTAACTGGGAATATTTCTTCCACTATTACAAGATGTATCAGTATTAGCAAGGCTTCCTGAGCAACATCTCATTGTTTAAAACAAAAACTGAACAGAATAGACCACACAAAATAGGTACAAGTTAAAAACAAATGTTATGCTTCAATGATGTTAATCTAAGTAGCTATTTATTCAACAATGTTTTGAGCCTAAGCCCTTCTTCATGCGATAAACAGTCACCAATAAAAGTACATTATGATATTCAAATAATAACAATAACGTATACATGCTTATAATGATATAGTGTCTTGCTGGATTGTAAGGTTTATGAGTTTTGGGAAGAAGAGTAAAAAATTGACAGTCTTGGAAAAGACTGAACAATATTACATCCTTCAGGTGTTGAGTTCATCTTCAACAAGTTTGTTTATAGTATTAAGAACCTGAACTTGTAGACTTGCTAAAGTTATGGGTAGGGAAAAAGAAGTATTAGATATCTGCTTATCAGTCTTAGCCATCCAAATATTTGAATCTATACTACAGGCACACCTCCTTTATTGGCAAGCTTTGTCACAATATCATCTGTTCATTTTAAGCTGAACAATGCAACACGTTCTTCTTTAGATATGTTGTTTGAAGGTGTTGAAATAGAAAAGTCAATGTCTAATTTGTTATTGGCAAATTGAAATAAAATGGTCAACAACAGGACATTTTCTGGCTACAGGCATCCATTTTTTGTTCTTTTGGTAATGTGTTCTTACAGTGAAGTTATATTATGGTTTTCATGATATGGAATCATCATTGCAAAATATGTTTAGATCCAGATAGAGCTTGGAGGATAACTGAGCGTATCAGTTGGTGGGAATTTAAAGTGTGCTTGCAGAAGAATTACTCAACATTTTTAAGAAATTTAAATCCATCACCGTTAGTTTTTGTTTGGGCAATACTCAGCACTCTGGATAAAAGGTCGTGTGGAATGGTAACAATTAGGTTGAAGATTTTTGGACTCATTAGAAGTTTTTGAATGAGAATGGAGTGGAAAGAATCCTAAAGGACAAAGTTTCTTCTGTTTGAATCTTTGAATAATTTTATAAGATTTGGCATTTATGAAATGACTTGTCTGTGAACTTTATGAGCTATATCATAGGTATAGATCTCATATAATCTTCATCTGTTTTAAATTGGTTCAGGAGTATTTTTGTCTCCTGCCTGGCAGAAATGTAACAATCTAGCACAAGAGACAGAGAATGATATGTGAGTGAAGTATCTACATATAAATCCCATATAGTTAAGATGATAAGCAGTATGAAATTTTAGTTTCAAACCTCTAGGAATTATGTTATGATGAAGACCCAGTCCAAGAAATCAAATGTGACTAGCGCAATTAGTCTTTTGAAGAGTAGCTTGAAATAGTTCCTGTCTAGCGGCACATATAACATTAAGGTAGTCGTCCAAGGTGACTAAAAAAGTTGATAGTAGACAGAATGTTGAAAATATATTTGGATAAAAATTAATTGTTTAAAAAACAAAAACCTGAAGAGGAGAAACTATGTACGTGCACGCACACACACACACACACACACACACACAGAATAGTTAAGTGCTTGAAGAAATGGTAATATTAGGAAGATACTGAACAAACAGTTTTCTAGATTAACAAAGTTTTGAGTTTAAGCCCTTCATCAGGTGATGATTACACAGCCATTAATGAAAGCACATTAGAATGTTATTTAAACAATAACAATAATGTATGCATATACCTATTGTGGAACAGTGGATCTTTACTCATTCCTTCTCTGCTGACTGTGTGTTCCAGGAAACTCTCCTGTTGACAGAGTAATTCACACTTCTTGAGATTCAGTTTAAGGTTTTATTTTTTCAATTGATCCAGAACTATCCTCAACACTTCATAAGCATTATCAAAGGTTTCCCCATGTAAATGAGTATGAAATTCCAGGGTATTTCAATCCAGATAAAGCATCCAAAGTATCCACTCTTTGGAAGTAGGTAGTCATCATTTTTTGTAACTTCATTCACCTTCTGGTAGTCCATGCAGAACCTTGTGGATCCTTCTTTTTTTTCCAAGTATAATAGGTGATACTCAAGAACTAGTACTCTGTTTTGTTACTTCTTGTTCCTTCATGGCTTTTGTCTCTTTGAAAGCCTTGGACTATTTTGCAAGTGGGAATTACTTGGCTAACTGACATATTAGGGCTGCATTTTCATTATCAATCTTTTGAGGTATTTTACTTGTTTAGCCTAGGGCATGAAGTCCACTGGAGAAGTGTTTTGATATTCCATATGCAACTTATATAATCTCTGACATTAATCAGCAGTAAGACTTTCAAAGCTCTGGTTATATAGCCCTTGTAAGTGAGGTGGAAAATTGTTTTTTATACGAGTATTTGAAATCAGACTTTCTATATCATTCCTTAAAGATGACTACTACTGATGTGGAAGTATTATTTGTCAAGCCTCACATCTTGCAATGTTCAATTTATGTTTGACTTGAATATTAGTTTGTCACGTTGATGACTCTATTGATGACATTGAATCTTATCAGCATTAACATCATAGCATTCTTTCATTTTGTCACAAGCTGATTTATGCCTTTCCTGGTTAAAGTCAGGTACGAAGTCTTTACTTTTCAGATTCACTAGAATTTTGCCAATCATCAATCCATCGGAAGTACTGAAGTACGTGGTTAATTTCTGGCCCAGTCATTACATGTGAATTTACTTTTAACAAGATCTGGTATGTGTATTTCTCTTCTTGGTGATTCAGTGACTGCTCTCCTTGTTGTTGCTGGAAGTTCAATCTTTGGTGTAGTAATTCTCATACAGTACACAGAGATTTCCTATTCAAAACTAGACTAACCTCACATCCATCTCTCTTCATAAAGTCAGTTCTCAATATACACTCTTCCTCGAGGTGACTTACCCACACATCATGAGGCCTGTAGAAGGTTCCTAAAGGGTAACTTCTGTCTTGTTAAAACCTTATTTCTGCCTATCATTACCAAACTGTTGTAGCTGTAGAACTTGTGTTGAGCAACATGCTGCAAGTCTTCCCATTAATAAAGCTGTTGATTCGTAGACTGGTTTCTTTAACCTTATGTGCATAGGTGGGGGTCAGAATGTGCTTGCCACAGCCTTTTATTGGGTGACATTCAACAGGGTAATATGTATGTGATGTCAGAGTTATTTCATTTTTACCAAACATTGCTTATTTAGCAACAGTTTATGGTAGAGGAGAATATATACCAGATATAGTATACAGAGACACTGAAATAAAAAACAAACTATAAATATGCATTTTGGAGGTTTTAGAGGTTATACAAAAACAATATGCAAACTATACAATGGAAAGAAGTATTGTTGTTCTTCACATTAAAATCATTTTGTACTCCAACTTTTCAGAATCTGATTCAGACTGATATAATCAATTCACAGACATATCTTGAGTACAAATACTTTTGTAGCTCATCTGATTTTTTTATTATTTTAATCAGAAAAATGATCCTGTAGCTATGCTTAAGCGACAACTTGCAGACAGGGAGAAGCAGTTGGATATAGAACAAACACGTGCTGAGGCAGCTAACAGCAAGATGCAGGAGCTAAAGGAGGAACTTAGTAGAGAAAAGTCTCATTTTATGACAGTTGAAAAGTCTCTCCAAGAAAAAGTGAATCAGCTGGAGAGAGAAAACGAAGCTTTAAAGTTTAGCATCCAGCAGTCTTGTGAACAACACCAGGAAGAAACTTCCCTGCTCCAGTTGGAAATTGAGCAGGTACTGTATGAGAGTTACTTAACATATGAGCTCAAGCTTACAACTTTAGTAACAAATCTACCTTCAGTGTATGTTAGCATCACTTACTCTATTCTTTTTCAAAGAATCTGATTAAAGTGCAAAGTTTATACCTAGAATTTACTACTAGGGTTTAACATTTGGATCAAATTACTATATGTTAAGTGTTGTTGAATTCAGTATCAACATCTTTTAATTTTTATGGTTGGTTTAGATGGCTTGTTAGTGCATGATTTTCCTGAAAGGGGGGGCCAAAGGCTGCCTGGAGGGGTCACTTATTTTAACCACTCACACCACTATACAGTAGTGTGTTATCTGTCAGTCAGCAGACACTAAAATGATGTCACATAAGGGAAGCTTAACATTGCAATTTGTATTGTTGTGATGTCAATTAAACATGTGCATGCCATGAATCATGAAAATAATTTGTTACTCCTAATTTTGATTTTATTTACTCTTGAAACACTTTCGGAGACCCTGTGCAAGTACATCTAGTATTTTTAATAGTTTTCACTGTCTATGATATGGCTGAATGAATGGAAAAAACTTGAATATTATTCTTCCATGTAGATGCAATCAAACTTGCAGGGAGAACAAGCTTTAATAATAAAGAAACTACAAGAAGAAAAAGATCACCTGAAGCAAGCCTTGGCAAACTTAGAGGCAGCGTATGTATCAGTAGTTGTTCTACTCAGGAACTAACTTTATTTTACGTTTATTATTTAACTTGTAACTAATATAATTTGTATCTCTTAAAAATACACTCTGTAGTGATGTTTAATTAGCATAGTCAGTATGATAATTTATCTGCAGAACTTAGTTTGTGATGTTTCTTTCATTCCTTTCACAACAGGCTTGTGTGTTTTACAGGACCTTATAATCAAGAAGGTATACATACTGTAAGTGAAAGTACTGAATTATGTAATTTGACAAGCTTTGAGTAAATATTAGAAGTCTGTTATAGACAAAACATCAGAATTTTCAATTATTTAAAAAAAAAAGTCCCTTAATATATGAAGTCAAGAGTGTTGACTGCTTTGTGTGCAAACTGATTTTAATATTAAGATAAAAAATAAATTTTATCTGAAAGTTTTCAAATTCCATTTGCATAATCTCTAAAATATTGTAGATAAACATAATTTTTTTTGTTTTTCAGGAAACCTTATATTTTCTCTACCATAACACCAACGGAGTCGATGATTTGGTTGATCTCATAAATACCATGAAAAAATTAGGATTTCTAAATTATCTTTTTTTTCTTTCTAGAATCACTGCAAATAGTAACAGAAAACCACAATTATTTATCCTAAATAGCTTAATGCTAGTAACAGTATACATCTGTTTATGTTTAATTTTATTATTTTATTACCCTGCAAGTCACTGCAAATGTGCAACTCACATTATCATATCGAATTACTTATTTGTAATGTTTCTCTAACTTGTAGTTGGTATAGTAAGTTGTGTACAAAATGTACTTTGTGATGTTTCTCTAACTTGTAGTTGGTATAGTAAGTTGTGTACAAAATGTACTTTGTGATGTTTCTCTAACTTGTAGTTGGTATAGTAAGTTGTGTACAAAATGTACTTTGTGATGTTTCTCTAACTTGTAGTTGGTATA